GGAATAATAGTACCTTCCATTGTCAAATAAACAACTGTCGCACCACAGATAGCCTTGAATGATCCTTCCAACAAAAATTTTTGATTTTTATTACTAAGTTTGACATGTTGATAATAGTTTTAGAGGGATAAGATTTTTTTTAAATATAAAGAATAAGAATTCAGTAAATCACTATAAAAGCAACAAATATTCATAACTCGAAATACTACCCTTTTTAAACGGTTTCGCATTTTCTCTTTCTGGTTTCATTTAGGTATTTTAAACGACGAATTTCTGGAAGAAAAAAAGATAATGTATTAGTATAAAGTAATGCATGTATTTACGCCAAAAATTTCTCACAAAGAAAATGTATATGTATCATGGGTGATTAGTCGAATTTGGTTAATTGCACAATTAAATTATGCATTATTATGATATCGTACAGCCCGTGATGTCACACAGCATAATAATTATCTGATTGATTATCGAATTCATCAATATGATATGGAAAAGACAATATTAACTATTTCATGCCGTCTCTAAGAAAGATTCCACTAAATACATTTGTAGTAGTAGATTAACTACTGGATTTTGATGGTTGATAATTTTACAAAAGATAAGTTGTATTAATATTGAATTTTCGTTTGATTTAAGCAAAGTGGATAAAAGGATCAACTAGTGAAACCTACCTCCATTTTTATATGTTTTGTAGTGGTCCAAGAATTAAATTCAGATTTCGAGTGGGCTTCCATGAATGTGTAATGTCAAGAAGATATCATTTGTGAATTCTAGTAAATCTGGAAAAAATTATGTTAGGATGGACGCCTAATATTAATAAGCAATCAACAGATCCACACAATCATCATAAAAATTATCACAAGTGTGTGCAAAGATTTTTTTTATTAAAATGCTAAAAATAAATTATGCAATCCTGCCATATAATCTAAACCAACAACCCATTTGGGCAGAATTTGAATCATTATATTATTTTGCGGATGACTCAAGCATTTAAAAAAATTAATCCCCCGAAAATTATTACAGGCGTAGCTATTTAACATTTTTATTAATAACTGAATTATGATTCTTCCATTTCCTCCTCTTCCAAAAAATCTTTGAGAACATCTCTATATTTGCTCCAAAGCCACCGCAAAGCATCTTTGGCTGTTGGTCTATTAATTTTATCCTTTGCCATCAAGTTCATTCTTGCATAAACTTTCAATTCATCCAATTCTTGAAGCTCAACAGAGGCCGTCCGAATCAAATATCCGACAGACCAAATATCAACACTCTCATTGTGATGGAATTCAAAAATCTCAGGTGCATGACTTTCTTTAGCTAATTGTGTGTTAGGAATATTTGAAGGAACATGGCACGCGTCATCGAAATCAATAATGAACCAACTGTCTCGATCTATGGACTTTAACATGTTATCCCAACGGAGATCGCGATGCATGATTTTCATTTTGTGGAGAGCCTGAGAATGTATATTCGTTTATAAAATACCTACGTTTTCAACATAGCAGACAATGGATAAAATGAAAGATAATAGATACCTTAAGGGCAGTCAAAACACAACACAATGCTTTGATTAGTTGTTCCTTTGATCGTGGTTTACACATCATGCCCTTTGGTAAAAAAATCATGAATGGAGTTGATCCTTCCTCCATATTGACGTGATTGAGGGAATCAATGAAAGGAACTTGATGCTTGGCCATTTCATCATAAAGGGTCTTAAGGTTCATGACAGAATCCACTGAAGGATAACGTTTCACAACTGTATTTTGCATAAATTCAATCACTTTACCGCTCGTTCGATGAAGAACAACAAATTCCCGCTGAAAATACTCTGGCACAGTTTGGCGAAGTAAGTGTAATAATCGACCAATGTTTCTTCCGATATTGAAGGCTTGTATGCGTCCCTCCACTTTATCCAGTAAACAAGTCAACAAGTCCTTCCGTTCAATGCTGTTTCCCTCGAGATACAAATAGCAGTACGTCACCCTAGTGGCAATTGCATAGTACCCAAAGATGTAGGGACAATTTCCATACGTCCATGTTAATTTCAAGATTAGTTCCATTGCTGGATCATCATTAGTTTCAGGTCCCTTTTCCTCCCCTCTCGCAAGACAGGCATCAAACACCAAATACGAAAGATCGGGTCTATATTTCCTTGTGGAAGTGACGAGACATGTTTCGATTGTGTATTCCGTCTGGACATCCAATTTTAAAAGGTTTGACAATAAGTGCGTCCCAAAACCCATGGAATGAATCTTCGGTGGCACTGGTCTCAGGAGGGCAGGCAATGTGTACAATATATTCGGTCCACAATCTACTGGATGCTTTATCTGAACTCACAAAAAATTGATTCAAAGTCTCTAGAGGAAGTTTCGACCTCAAATAAAAATCATACAAAGTTGGGTTAACCTCGATCGGCTTGGCAAATGGTTGTTGAAGGTAATTCAATAAATCCGAGCGGGATGGAATGAATTCAGGTTTAGTCTTGAGTAAGGTTGTGGGCGAAACCTCTTAATGACTGTCGAAACTCTGTCGAAACTCTAATGAACAATTAATGTGTAACCTGTCAAAACTCTGATGATTGGCGAAAACCCCAAATGCGAAACTCTGCCGAAACTCTAATAAACAATTAATGTGTAACCTGTCGAAACTCTGTCGATTGATTTCTGGAGGAGTTTCTCCCGCAACCTTAGTCTTGAGCATGTTGAGAGTCAAAAAATACAAGGAATCCTCTATAGTAGAAACAGATCATTAGAGATACAAAGTTTCAGTAACGTATCCTTTGAAATACTTTCCAGCTTACCAATTTCGCGTTCTTGTTCATGACCTGTGAAGCAAAGTGGGTAACATTAAAATATCATATAACGTATGCGGACGAGTGAAAGCACAAGTTAAAAAATGAAATGACAGCGAGAGAGGCAGTGTAGGTTTGAAATGTTTGAATACAATCATGGTACTTACCCTGCTCTTCCCCCCCTTAATATCCTTAATCAGTTGCGTGATGTTTTCAGCTGGTCCTCTTTTTAATCCATCCTGCATAAGCTTATCTACATTTAACTCAAGGAAGGCACAACCGTTAACCCTATTGTTATCAATTATCTGGATATCCTCATTTTCAAGTTCTAACTCTTCTTTTTTCTCTTTCAAAAAATCAACAACATTAGCTCGTTTCCATTTCTTAACTACTTCGATTGACAGAATGGGGGTATCAGACATGTTTGTTTATTACTTGAATAAAAATAAGTAATGCGGTTTGTACAGATTAAAAGAGAAGTGATTTTTTTTAGTAGGAAATGGTCGTTTTATAGTTTATCAATCAGATCACGCATGTAGAATTTCCATGACCTTCCATGTCTCGTATACATTGAAATTCTAAAAATAATTTCATTGCACAGCCTAATTCAAATGTCGTACAACATACAGATTATCTGATCGATTATAAAAAAATCAAATTTGAATTTCTTCCTTACTATTACTTACCCGCATTTAAGAAAGATCCCGTAAAATATATGCATGGTATTCCTTCTGATTTTCACGATGAAGTAACGGTCAAGGAATTAATTCATTGGGGACAAGTATACTTGAAAAAGAGCTTTGCAGAGGATCAAGGTTATGGACTAAACGAAGGACTTAAATCTCACATCCTAAAGTATAATGGGACTTCTGATGTTTACGCAATGCAATCATTACCAAAGTAGATAGGAGTATAAACGAGGATAGTATCAAAGATGATCTGGATAATTATGTTTAATCAAGCGGAAATCAGAAATCATAGTAGTAGTAGAGAAACATTTTATCCTTTGTATGAATGTCTATGACCCGTGGTCACAAGGGCGCAGTATCATGGCGCAGTAAGTCATACCGCACTTTTATTTCCCCTTTTTCAAAACTTTGACGATTACAAAATCAATATCACTTTGACTTAATTTTGATAAGCTATTTGCTGAAAAAGATCTAATTAATGCTATTTTGTCTTTTGCTAATTTCTCATTCCCATTAACAATAGCAGTAAAAAGTTTATAGATTTTTCAGACTCTCTCCATTCTCTTTCGTAGAGCAACATCGGTTACTTCTTTAGGAATTTGCTTCCGAACTTCCTCGAAAACTAAAGCATTGGATGCTTCTTTACCATTATCCTTTTTTAGATCCTTGTATCGTTTATATAAAACCCCTCCAAAATCAAAATAACTACCAATAACCTCTTGATTTGTAATTATATTTTTAGATTCTGCGAAATCAATCTTATTGAAAAAATATAAATAATTATTGGCATCTCCAGAAACACCCTCTTCTGTGACTTCGATAATTTGCGGAGGTTTTTCAATTGATAATAATTCATTGATAAGTTTTTTCAGTTTTAATGAATCTTCTTTATTTGCCTTCTGTTTTTTACTGGAGGTCTTATTAGTAGATGTGGACTCACCAGAATGCTTGGATGGCAAAGCACTTGTAGTTGATGTTTCAGGTACGTCAGATTCTTTGTTTTGTGAACGATTATCATCAGATGGGTCTTCTGCGATTGTATCTAGGTGTGATGGATCATTTTCTAATGTGTTGGTTTTTTGTTGAGAATAATTTTCTAATGATCCATCAATACTCATATTATCTTGGGATGAAACAGATCGTACTTCTGATATTTCAACATCCTGCAACTCCGATTCAAAAGATTTATAACAATTACGAGCGGGACAAATTTCTATACCATTTTTGATACTGTTTTCAAGACAAGTATGATGAAATATATGGCCACATGGTAGAGCTGTAAATGGCTTTTTTATTAGTCTTAAAAATAATTCATCGTTACATAGTGGACATGAATCCAGTTCCGGAACTTCAATTCCATTTGCAATATCTCCTGGAGAGGTATTTCTAAGAATATTTAATGCAAGGGTTTTAAGGTATTTAATATCCATATTTGTGATTTTACGATTAATGGGAAATGTGTTTTGTTTTTATAACATTAGTAGTTCCGTGTGTCAATAAATCAGTAATTTCGGAGCAGGCGGGCAAATTTATATTCGTCATGAATGGGATTAATTTATTCTCTATGGGCGATCTCGGAGGATTTACCTACCCTACAACAAGCACACTAATTAATTAGATGTTTTTCTATGGGTGATCTGTTACCTTTGCTGATCGTAATATTTGCATAATTTCTCTGATAGGTAGGCCCTCATTCGATGTCAAAAAATAAGCTCAATACACACCAAAGAAATGGTATTTGTGGAATCATGAATTTTTTTCTTGCAAAAGTGATCAGCATGAAGAATCTTCACGCGCACGTGATTTTTTTATTTTGAATAAATCTATGCCTTTTATTATATAAAAAAATTATTATCGATCATGCAATCCGAATTAGATTTATTAAGACAAGAGAATGCCAAACTTGTGGCTAGAATTACAGAATTAGAACAGACTGCAAAAGAAAAATATGAGCTCGAGATTAGAATTGCCGAATTGGAACATGCTATGGAAGAAAGTGTCAGACGTGAAGCTGAAAATGTTGAGCTTAAAGCCAAAGTAATGAAATTAAGTCACGATTTTGAGGAGCTCAAACAGCAAACTCAAGTCATTACTAATATGCAAGAGATGTCTTCTATTGGTAGAGCCAGCACAACTGAAAATATCTCGCCTAATTCATCACCTAATGAAGATCTCTCTAATGAGAGGAGTTTGCATAACAAACAATCTTCAACTAATGATATTGATTCCGAGTCTTTAGAGCAGACACAGAACACTGTTTCTTCTGAAATAAATTCTGACAATACTCCCAAACAGATGGAAAATAGATCGGATAACATGTCTAATTCTGATGTATGTCAGAAGTCGATAGCACAATGTTCTACATCATCTATCCACACAGAGACTAAATTGTTAGAAGATAAGGAGATCAATGATTTTCTGGATCGGGAATGGAAGGAAAAGAATAGTAATATGATTAGGGAGAGAAACAAGGAAAAGAAATTATTACAAAGTAACGAAGATTCCACTTCTCGAACTCAAGAGGTACTCCTAACTTCTCAGGATACTCCTTCTATTGAATCAGAGCAAAAGCCTATCAATCAGGATATTTCAGAAGCGCCTATTAATCAGGCACCAGGTACCATTTCTTCCAAAATAAAAATTCCCTATAATCAGAAAGTAGAACAAGGTTTATTACACGAGTTATTTGAATTTATTAGAGGAACCGATTCCATGTCTTTACAAAATCTAAAGAAAACTCCATTGAATTCTATCTTCATTAAACAAATTTTGGACATTCCTGTTGATATAGATCTAACTCCAGGTTCTGTACCTCATTTAGCTCATTTATTTGGCAAGGCTGAGAAAACTGGACGAAAAGAAAAATTGCAATGGTATTATTATAGTGAGGGATATGAAAAAAAAGTTTCGAATATTAGTTCAGAAAAAAATATTAGTGATCAAATGGCGAGAACGCAAATCTATAATGAAATGATGCAGTATCTACCTGGAATCAAGAGTGTATTTGCGTAAGATGACTCAAAAGGCTAGAACTATCTATACATTATTCAACGGGATAGGAAAAGATAAAATTGAGTACATTACATACAGTGTTGATGCTATTTCTAGTTTAACCGGTACACAAATTCAAAATATTATAAATCTTTATACTAAAGAATTAGATGCGAAAGTATCATCGTTTGAATCTCAAAAATTGATCGGCGTGAAGAATTCTTCACGCGCACATGGCCAACCGGAATCTGATACAGAAACTAAAGTATGCGAAGAAACTTTATCAGAAGCCGAGATAAGTATTACAACCACTCCTTCTATCTCATCATCTCAAATCTCTAATTTGGAAGATATAGTAAATGTATTTGATGGCTTTTCAGATTCTAACTCTGATGGTAGTGAGGATGATGATGAAGATGAGTTTTTAGGTGAGGAAGATAAGGTAAATACTTCATCCAATCTGGTTCATAACCGTGCCTATTTCCGTAACAAAATGGAAGAACAATATCCTGATTTATACTGGGAAGGTAGAGATGGAAACAATGATTATTATGGGATTACAGATGAATCTTTATGCCCGATATGCAAGTCAGATCATTATGAGGATAAAGGTATAGAAGGCAGATATAAATGTGGATCCTATTTTATTAAATGTGAACAGCGTGGAATTAAAATCGAGATAACAGCATAAACTTTAGAAGCTTTGCTCCAGCTCCGCTATCTTATCCAAATACAATTCGCTAAAGTCTTTGAGGACTCTCTGAGGCATATTTATTTTTTTAATTTAAAGAGATGTACAATCATATAAAACGGCAACATGAATTCATTAACTCCCGAATATTTAGAGTGGGAAGCTAAATTAACAGAATTGCCAAGCGTTTTGTCAGATAAAACTCGTTCTAGGTTCTATAATAGATATAAGAATAAAACTGGACTTGATCCCTGGATAAATTCTGAAACTTCCGAATCTAAACAAATCGAAGAGGATGCCAGCAATCATCTTTCACGAGACTGTATCATCAAAATTTCTATGTTTCCGGAAGAAAAAAGTATAATCCATGAAGCTGTACATAAACGTTTCCCTTTGTCTTTTACTCATTCGAATGCATGGTACCGAGATGTTTTTAAATATACCGATTCAAAAGCTGAATGTCCAGTATGTAAAAAGGCACATACACATCGAGGTGTATGGGGCGATTGGAGCTGTCTTGAGAAAAATGATCACTATTTTCTTAATTGCCCTTTTCGTAGCGATCAAAAAAAAGTTATTATTGCTGTACAGAGTTTTCTGGAAACTCAAGTAAGGGTACCAAACAAAATCCGTCTTTATCAGCCAGAAGCAGGCTTACGCCGATATGCCATCGAACATGGAATGGACCCCGATAAATTTTCTGTCATTACTGAGGCTGAGAAAAATAGGTGGGCCATGGGATGCTTCCGTGAAGACTTGGAGAGAGATATACGGTTCTATCGTAGTGGAATAGAAAGGAACGAAGATACCAGAAAATATCGTGAATTTTAACAGATCAGGAGAGGATGGTCGGTGAAGAGTTATCACGTCGTAGTATACTAAAGAGCGGTTTAAGTACTGTATGGCTCGATGATCTGATGAAAGAATGGGAAGAAATCTATACTCAATTCATACAAATTTTCAATCCAAATGAAAAAGGAATCGAGATAACAACGAAAGCATAAAACCAAATATAGTATCTAAATCGTGGGCTGATTCAATATATGTAATAAATTATTTTTCGTGTAATTATAATCACATGGGATTGCTCCCTTGAGGCAATATCATATGCATATACATAACAATTTATCAAACCCGATATAAATAAAAGAATTCTTTATTAATTGTGCTTTAGAATTTATTACATAGAATGTGACCCGAGGTCACAACGTCACGTAACAGTGGCGCAGTAAAGCTACTCTATAACATCGACCTCATTCTTAATACTGAATAAATCCTCCTCGCCCTTCTACTCTGCATTTCTTGAGATTCCAAAAAAGTATTTTATTGAATTCCCAACGCAAATGTACTAGTAATGGCCAAAATACTAGCAGTAATAAGCCAAATTGAATTTAAAGAATCTCCTAAAACCAGGATACTATAAAGTGTATTAAAGATGGGCCGTGCAATAATTTTACTTGTGGTTTCTAACATGCTATTTGCACATAAAAGTTGTCCAACTTGTGATGGCCGAACTAGATTTGTTTGAAGAGATAATATGGTTGGGCCTACTATACTGTTCAAGGAACGGACGCAAGCACCTATTGATTAAGATTAGGGATTAGGACTCAATTTTTTATGGAAAGAAAACTAAATAGTTCTTACCAATAATAAATACCAATCCGGTTTCTGCCAGCCCATAAATGAAAAGAGAAACTGCGCAAATTTCTAGAATATATATTTTATATCTTTATCTTTACCTATATTTTATTTTATCCTATATTAATAAAGCTGACCCTGGTGGTCTATTACTATTACATACATATATTCGAAAAAATAATCCAATTAATTCCTATACATATTGAGAATGCCCAAATCAAGGTTATTCGCTTTGAGATATCTACATACCTCTTCATAATTAAATACCTCCTTCACATCTTGTGTCTTCTTATTTATGATAATTATATGTTCTCCTTCCATAACGTGCATATATTTATTCCAGTTTTGAAATTGCATATACTGTGTAGGATTCGTGGTAAATTTACCTTGAGTTTTACGTCTGTTATTTCTAGATCTTTTGGTTTATTTCAAATTTTTCTTCTTTTAATTGATAAAGTGTAGACTTTTGGAGTTGGAATTACACATAATTCAAGAGTATCGGTCAAATTATCATCAGCATCATCAATTATTATTGTACTGTTACTAGTGGCCATTTGTTAAGAAGGATTTCAAAATTAAAGTTCGTTTATGTCTCTTTTCACTACCATATATATTAGTTAATATATTCATGTGAATAATATATCTTTTTTTTTAAGGTATTCATGTAAATAATCACGAATATTGCATGATTTTGTATCATATACATTCTAGAAAAATTTTTATTTATTTAAAAATAAGACAATCATCTATCTCTAAAATAACAATCTTGTCGCATATTGCACATTAACGTCACACCAAATTGATTTTATTTTTTTTATTGTATTAATCAACGTGGGATGATTAAAAAACCAATGTTCTTTGTGGATGGATTTTTTTTCCTAAAAATATCAAAGTAAAAAAGATTGAAAAAGAATGTTGATTACTTGATAAGTGGATCATGCAACTTATTAAATAAAAATGATTTGACAAGTAGAATCACTAATAAATCAAATGAATTACTTGAACAATGGAAAATTGTTCTAAAAACAAAAAGAAAAGAAAATTTTGTTTCTTTTTATAAATCAATAAATGAAATGGGATATTTCTCAGATGAAGCACAAGAAAATGATAAATTAATTAATAAATTAACAAATGAATTTAATAAAAGTTGTTTGACTGACAAAATCGCTAGATTATCAAATGGATTATTAATCATAAT